CAACCAACTCCTGTGTTGCACACTAGTACCTGGCACAAGCATCCAGACCAAGACAGCTCCTTGTGGAGCTGGCGGGGAGAAGCTGTAGGGATCACACCAGTAAAGATGAGGAGCACCTACACACAAAGGGCCATTGGAGAAGAGCAGAGGATGGAGGATCACCACTGATGATGGTGAGAATTCACCCCAGAGTGCATTCCCACAGCACATCTCCATGTCTCACCTCATCAGCAGTGGAGTATCTCCCTCTCCAGCTGTCCCAAGTTCAGCAGCTTCAGGATGACAGCCTTGACAGAGCAGGGCACCATCAGAAACTGCCACTGCACCTTGAAAAATTAACACAAACCAAAACCCAACAGCACCTTTTTGTTTATTGAAACTCCTCTCATTCAGGAAGCCAACATAAGTTGGTATTCCCAGCCCGAAACACTGAACACACCTTTCCCACTGTCTTCCCACCTCTCAGAGATGGGCCCCAGACCAGCTCAGCTTTGGTGCTGTGGGAGTTGCAAAGACCTCTGTTGAGTTGATTTGACCATGAGGCAAAACTAGTTTTGTTAAATAGTCCAGCCTGAACCCAGCCTCGTTTATTTTTTCAGCAGCTGTTTGCTAAATCTTTCGTATTACAAGAACAAAACCCTCAGCTATGCAGCACCTCAAGGATCAGACTTGAGCCCCGATCCTAAACTTTTCATCATGTGTGTTCTTAGTACAAAGTTCTTGTTTTGCTTCCAATTTAGGCATGTGTGTTCCTCTTTCCACTTTTCCTTTTAAAAAGAGCAGGGAAAGGGGATTTGTGGTTTAGGGTTTGGGGCCTTTTGGTTACTGAGAACAAACAAAAGCAGATTATCATTCCAACTCAGAAAAAGTAATTTACTTTTTTGCCTTTTCGAAAGACCCTTTTCTTTTTATTTAAAAAACACCTTTTGTTATTGTCTAATCATAGTGGAAAAAAAAAAGATAGCTAATGCATAACAAAGTGCTGATTAACAAAAGTTATCTTCATCTGGCTTTTGGCTCACCTGCGCTGAAATGTCTTTTCCCACACGGTTTATTTGACCATGACACGTTTGCCCTCACACCTACCAACTAAGACTCTTTCCTTGAAAAGAGGGTGACACTTAGGAGAGTTAAACTTCTGGAAGTGTCAGTTCATATTTCAGAGCATTTCAGTAACAACAGCTCAGTCTGCAAAGTCTGTGTCCCCAAAGATGCAGAAGAGTTTTCCAAGTCAGAAATACCCAAATACTGGGCTGCTGGACAAAAACTGGCTGGCCCCAAGCAGCCACCCCAGGACTCTGCTGCGTATCCCAAGGTTGGACCTTGTCCAGGGTCCCAGGAGCTGAGCTCTTGGCATAACTCATAGCTCTCTGCAAAGCAACACAGCAAAGGTCAAGAAGCCTCCTTGAAGGGAAGGGGATGCACAGATCTTACCTTGCACACACCAGTTCTGCTTGTTTCTTCTCTCCTTAATCCAGCATGAAACCAATTTTGGATTTACAACATCAAAACCTGCTTTTTGTTCACAGAATTGAAGCAGCTCAATTAATCTCTGCAGTCTATGTTGTGCCCTCTGGGACCAAGCTCACAAGCATAATGGCTTCGTAAGTCTTTTCCTGCCCTCAGGACAGCTACTCTACAAAGAACTGAGGTGCTCCCTGCTCTCCTCATGGACATAGAGTCATAGAAAGTTAGGGGTTGCAAGGGGCCTCTAGAGATCATCTCGTCCACCCCCCCCTGCCAAAGCAGGATCACCCAGGGCAGGCCACACAAGAACACATCCAGGTGGGTTTTGGAAGTCTCCAGAGAAGGAGACCCCACAGCCTCTCTGGGTAGCTTGTTCCAGTGCTCCATCAACCTCACAGAAAAGAAGTTTCTCCTCATGTTGAGGTGGAATTTCCTGTGTTCCAGCTTATACCCATTATTCCTTGTCTTATTACTGGGCACCAACAAAAAGAGTCTGTCTCCTTTTCTTGACACCCACTCCTCAGACATTTATAGACATTAATAAGATCCTCTCTCAGCCTCCTCTTCTCAAAGCTAAACAGTCCCAGTTCTCTCAGTCTTTCTTCATAGGAGAGATGTTCAAGTCCCTTAATCATCCTTGTAGCTCTCTGTTGGACTGTCTCCAGTAGATCCCTGTCCTTCTTGAGTTGGGGAACCCAAAACTAGACACAGTATTCCAGGTGTGGTCTCAGCAGGGCAGAGTAGAGGGTGAGAAGGACCTCCCTATACCTGCTGGAGGTAGCCTCCTCCATACAGAGCCTCCTTCTGTGCCTCTCACCTGCTCAGGAATCACTTGACTCAAACACTACTTGTACTCGAAATAAATCAACATTTAATATTTCACAATTACTTAAAAAGTTCTTTGAACAGTATTTTACAGATCAGCACAGACATTACACAGATTTGGTGAGGCTGCACTTATGTACAAAGGTGACCTGAAAGAACCTCAGACTTCTTTCATTTCCAGAAAACATGAGAGGTTAAAACCTCAGCCAGGATTATGAGTCCCTGGAGTTTGTGCTTGTTTTCCTCTATGAGAAGGAAATTCTCTTCTCTAGTACTTCTGTGGGGCCAGCTGAAATCAAAGAGGTTTATGTCATTAACAGCAGCAGGGATATATTTGGCCATGGATATCAAGATCACAAAGAGCAATGTTTTGACAGGATAAGGTGCTATTTTAAAGTACTGACCAAAAAACAACCAAACCAGCTGACAAATCTCAGACCCGTTTGAGAAGATGCACACAAACCTGTTTGGGAAATGGAAAAAATGCCTGGAAAGAGATATTAAAATCTGTTTCTGATCCATTGAGCCTATTGGACTTAAAATACTGCTGTGCAGAAGTGCACAGCAGTGACCTCAGTGCTCCCACATTGGGACCCTGTGAGAGAGGGGCCAGCCCACCACAACTTAGCAGTGTCTTGGTGTCCCTGCCAAGTCCATCTTGCAAGCAAGGGACAGACACTGCTCCACGCACACAGGAAAAGATGGGTGCTCCTGGAGCTGGTGCACGACTGGGGAAGGTGGGTCCTTGTCAGGAGTCCAAGCCAGCTTTTACATCGTGGTGAAGCCATAGGCCAGCTTACGTTCAGGTGATGCTTCTCCCCACACAAAGGTCTTCTCTTGGAGTCCACAAGGCAACACCATCCTTGGGATGGTTTATTCAAGTAGAAGGATAAAGTGTAGAGGCCTCCGGAGCATGTTCACATCTCATTTTTTGCTCACCTCTGGCTATTGACAGAAGCTGCATCCAGAGCTGCTGAGATCACCAAAGAGCCAGCTGGCACCTTCTTAACCCAAGATGTTCACCACTGGGCCCAGACCAAGATATCCCCCAGCAACAGCCAGCAGGGCCAGCATCAGAGTTGACAGCACCACAGGAGGGATCCCCCAAATGCTTCCAGAAGGTACGTGGAGGAATCCAGCAGACAAACTTGACCCATGCTCCTCCAAGAGGACTGAAGTCCCCAGGGGCTCTGGCCCTTTTGCTGGCAGATTTAACCTCAAGAGACACTGCTGCTGTGCCACTAGCTCTTGGGAATAGAGACAACCATGTTCTAACTAGTTCTAAATGCTGATGGGGCCCCATTTTCTGCAGGATCAAGGGACCCTCACTGAACTGATCATATTGTGGCTGAGCCCTGCAGCCCCCCAGCAGTATTCAGGGTCCCTTCCAGATGTTTCCATGGAGCACGTGTCCTCAGCATTAAAATCCTTTTAGCCTGCAGCATGATCTCCTGCCTGTCACCATAAGAGCAATCACCGAAAACTACTGAGAAACAGCTTGAGGGCTATGAAGCCAGGCAAGGCTTTTCCAGTCTCTTTTTTTTTTTTCTGCTCATGGGGTCAGAATACCTCTAAATACCCCCAAATATTGCACCTTTCTGTACCTACAGCCTCACAGAGAGAAGGAAGAGGGTGGAAAGCCTTGTTGCGGGGAAAGGAAGATCTCAAATCCTGTCATGGCTTGCAAGTGTCACTAGTGTTTTTGGTGCTGAGTCCTCCTTCAGCAGATCTGCCTCTTCAGGTTAGCTTCAGGCAAACCTAGTGCTTTCCTTAGTACTTCCCTCCCTCCTCCTGAGTATGAACACGGTTCCTGCCATATTTCAAGCAACTGCTGTAGATTCAGCCTCTGGGATGTCTCTAACACACGGTGCTGGGGAGCAGGATGCAAGAACATGGGCTGAACAGGGGGAACATCTCATGGGCCAACTCTGAAATTTTGCAGACTTTGGAAGTTATCTCCTGCAGGTCCTGGATTTACAGTAAATACATGCATACACGACAAGCTGCCCGTGCCCTGGGATGGCCTATTGCACTCAATTCACTGGGACAGGAGCAGCAGTCTACAACCCATGCTGGGGGCTTTCTGGTCCTCAGCTGGGTTGCTCTGGTCTGCACTGTTTCTCTGCAAGACACCCAACCTTTATAATTTAAAGGAAACCTTGAGAAAGCCTGTCCCTATCCCCAAAGAACTGTCCTGAGCACCCTTGACATGTTACGGGTGAAAGGCCATCAGTACAGCTGTTGTGTGAGCTGCAACTCCACATGCATTGAAGGCCATCTACCAACACTCAGTCAAGGACATTCACTTTCCAAAATGTCCCCCCACAAGCTCCCCCCTGGTCCCACTGGCCTTGGGGTCACTGTGAAACACAGCCACAGCACCATTTGCTGACAGGAAGATAATCACTGTCCTCGCCTTGCCCTCTAAACCCAGATATGTTGGCAGTCTGCTCAACCAGGTGGAGATCTCAAGGAAACCATGGCTGAGGAACCCTGAGAGATACCAGACCACAACACCCATGTTCTCATTTTCCAAGAGTGGGCTAAGCCCAGGCCAGGAGCAGCTCAGCCACCACACTAACGCTAGGGCTGCAGGATGTCTTGGACAAGAAGAGCTGGGTCTCCAGCCCAGAGGACAGTCAACTTCCTTTTCCTGAGCCTATATTGGTGTTGGATGTGAGTCTGGTCTGAGCGAACAGAGAGTTCTTCTATGGCAGTGCTCCACTGAAGGTGGCAATGGGTAGACACAGGAGAGAATGAAATTCAGAGGGGTCCTGGGGAGGCAGAGGAGACCTCCTCAGTGCAAGGAGATCTTTGTCCCTGGGTTTGTAGCACACAGAGATCTCACACCTGCAGGGGAACAAAAAAGAAACCAAGATGTGAGTAAGGTGTGTGGCTGAGAATCACGGTCTTCAGGTGCATCAGAAGCATCTGCAAACAGAGAGGAATCAGTGCAGTCTTGAACGGCACTACAGCTTGAGTGTCAAGAGTTCAGGTCGTTAAGCTGGCTTAGGCTGGGACCTAGAGTGGAAGCATCCATGATGAGTCATTTCTGAAACTCGTTAGGGCAAATGAGAACTTCTGCATTCCTCAAGTTCTGGGGAGAGGGCAGTAGCTCCTTCTCCATTTTGTGCACTGAACTCTCTCAACAGCCCCCCAAGTTGCACAAACAACTTAAATAAACCACCTCTCTTTGGGGTTACTTAAGAAATAAGATCCAAAATTCTTTTTCCATTGGAGGTAGCACAACCTTGCAGAGTTCTGCTTTCTCTGATGGAGAAATTAAAATACTTGTACATTTTTAAGACCTGTGGGTCAACTGGTTTGATCTCTTTGTGCTCACAGACATGTTGTAGGCTGCCTATGGTGAATTTTCAAATTCCATCACCTGGGGAGCCAGCTTGGTGCCCTGGGGACACGACCGATGGATGA